TACATGTACTATAGCTGGTGTACAGTACGTGTTTTTGGGTAAAATGAAAGTAATGCAAACATTTGAAGCTAAACAAAAATAGCAAAAACAGTCTACTGCAACCTATGCATGTTCTTTTATTGTAGGCATCGAGTCATAATACACACAACATTCAGAACTGGTAACTCCCATAATCAACAGCAACTGGAGTGGAGAGAATTACATTTACAGCATGTTTATTGATTACATGTACATGTACGTGTATACCTCATGTAACCTAATGTACTAGTTGTACATAAAGAGACAATAAACTAAGTACTCGTTCTATACAAACTCCCTAACCTAATATAACCTAATGTGCAATATCTCTTATTATGGCAAAATTACCAAAAACCTTAAATTAATTAACTAAAATTAATTAATTAATTAAAATTAATCAACTTAAATTAATATATTACCGATAGGATTGAGGAGGTCCTCCAGTGGTTCTTCAGGACTAACAGGCCAACAAGGTAGTGTCTTGCTGACTCCATTACAAAACTGACACCTGTAATCAAATAAAGGTTGATTCACCCAGGCTAATGGAACCTACATGAATAGAGAAGAGAGAGAGAGAGAGAGAGAGAGAGAGAGAGAGGGAGGAAGAAGCGAAGGAATGATGATGCAGTTACAGCAATAATAATAATAATAATAAAATAACTCTTTTGTTATTTTTATTCCAATATCTAAGTTTGGGTTCACTATAAATGCTTTATGATAAGTTTTCTTATGTTGTATAAGGTTTTCACACTACATGTACATGTATATGCATTGAAAATTTCATAATCACCTACTATAGTAAAATATACAATGTAATATGAACAAACACAATTAATGTACATGTAAATGAAATATAAAGCACAGTACCACACTGAGCACAGGATATCTACAACAGTACCAGTATACTGTAGTCATTACAGTAACCACAACAATGTCTTTACCTTCTCTTCTTTCTTCTTTTTCTTGTAAACAGCATAAACTGCCAGACAGAGAGTAGCACCCTGAGGGATGTCCCTACACAACACCATAATGAAATAAAAGAAGTGAAAACACACTGAGAGACAATGAAACAAGGAAAGAAATCAAAATTACTGCAAGAGAAAGACAGAGCATATTGTACACAGGTGACTGTCAAACAGGTACATGTACATTGTACATACACGTGCATATAAATACAATATTCAGTATTGTATTATGTAGATCAAGGAATAAATTTTGGGAGACTAATCTAGCTGAAAATGAGAGACTTTAGGACATCTATATAGGCTAAGCATGATAGAGCAAATTCTAATTAGAAATGGGAAATTTCAGGAGACCAAATATGGGTAAAGCCTCTAAACCCCATCTAGATCTAACAGTGGATGTACTATAAAAATTAGAGCTGAAACAGATATCCTGATTATCCGGATATCCGTTTATAAATTTAGTATCCGGATAGTAATTTTTGACAAATAGGATAATTAAACTTAA